AAATTAGTAAAATGTATATGAAAATAATATATACATTTATTAATAAATAAACAGTAACAAAAGGATATAACAACAGAGGCATGATATAAAAACGACAAAAACATGACATGAAAACAACAAAAAGATGATATAAAAACAACAGTGATGCAAATGACTGTTAAAGTGATTAAACTTATTCTAATATCTCCCTGTACACCACATTAAGAGTGAAAACACTTTCAGAGTGCTTGACTAATTTCCCTTGTGATGAAGTACTTAGGACTTTAACTGTAACATCACATGCTCTTCAAACTCAAGAGAAAGCAACATATAACTGACCATGTGCAAAAACGGGTTCAGATAGGAACATGCCTACTCTGTCTAGAGTTTGTCCTTGTGATTTATTAATAATCATCACAAATGCTGGCATCACGGGAAACCATCCTCGAATCAATTTAAATGGGAGGCCAGTGTCAGATGGGGACAAATTAATTCTTGGAATCACAACAGCCTCTCCCTCTGCAGATCCTGTTAATACTTCAGCTTCAATAATGTTAGGTTGTAATCTTTTGATAATAAATCTGGTACCATTACAAAGACCCCATTTACTATTGAGATTTTTCAATAGCATGATGATTGCACCCACTTTCAATTTTAATTTATGACATGGCATTCTCGTAGGAGTAATACTATTCAGAAATTCGATGGGGAAATTTTCCTTTGTTTCTTTGTTATGGGGTAGGGCCACAACATTAGTAACAAAGAAACAGAATTAAAACTTTATTGTGGGGAGCCGCTACAGTGTTTTGGACAGGTTCAAGCCTTGGAATGATGAAAGGACACAGTCCTCTCATTGCCACGTGCAAGTCCCAGCTTGGAAGGCAGGGTCCTCCCAGCACAATTATAGTCAACAGCTGTAAGCTTGAACCTATGGTCTGAACACGTGGCCCTACGTGCCAGAGTGATGTGGGCTTGATAGAGCCCAACAGCTGTAGTTGTAAACTTGAACTTATGGTTCGAATACGTGGCTTCACGTGCCTGAGTGATGTGGGCTTGATAGAGTTCAGGTGCATGTAGTTGAGTAGGATTGAAACCCAGGAGAATGTTTGTAAACATCTTGGTTACGCCCTTACTTTGCCTCATAGCATCTGCTATAAAATAAAGGCGTTGACTGTAGGCATGGTTGTTGTCTCAGAGAAGCAGCATCCCACCTAGACCAGACTTTCATTTTCTTGTCTGTCTTTAAGCCTTTTAGCCGCCCCACTCAGGTTTACTCCATGCTGGCGGGGCGCCCTTTAGAAAGATCTGCCTCAAACTACGCCCTTACAGGAAACAGCTCCAGGAAAAAGCTTGTGGGACGGCACAGCCGTTGCCAAGACAACCCTTATAGGACTGACTTCCTTCCGATTTGTTGGCAGCTGTCTGTATGTGATGAACACCACCCACAGTTTTTATATAAGTAGATATATATGCGTGTGTGTGTGTGTGTGTGTGTGTGTGTATCCTATCTAATAAAAGAGAAATGTGGTAATTAGCCGTACATCGCTACCCTTCCTATTGGCTAATCAGGGCGATATGCAAATTAACTGCCAGCCAAGATGGCGGCTGACAGCCAGGCAGCTTGAAGCTAACATGACGCTTGCTTGCTTCAGTGACGGAGGACTCCAATGTTCCCCGCCTGCCTGGCCGGCCTCTGAGCTTGCAGTTTGAAATATTGTTAACAAATATAGAAGCTAAACAAACCCTAGAAACCTGCTTTCAGCCAGCTGGGATCTCAGAGCTGGAGTTGAAACAGTGTTTCGATTATAGAACCCAAACAAACCAGATACCTGCTTTCAGCAGCCG